GGGACGTTGGCGTTGGCTTTACGTGCTTACCGAGGCACGGCTAACTTCTCATCTCCGAATTGTTACTGAAAGACTCAATAATTAAACTTGGCCCGACCCGGGATTCAAACCCAGACCTTTGATGCCGTACATACTAGCCACTACACCGAGGCAGCTATATACAGCCTATAATATATTAAAAGTTATATGACGTCATTGTTGGGCTCTGATCGCTAATATATAAACCATAACGACATATTCGTCCTAAATATATACTACATTAGCGACCCTCGCTAATTTCGGTTTCGTCCCCTAGTTATGTTTTAACGTTTAGTGTACATTTTTCAGAGATGAGGTATTTTCCCGCAATAAAAAAAGACAAACAAAACAAAACAAAAAAGATAAGAAGCAAAAAGACAGACAGACAGACAAAAATTCTTAAAATTATAGACAGAATTGGGCTCTATATCGATAATAATGACTATTTCAATAAGATTTTCCAAAAGTTATGTAATGTACAATGTATTCAACTCAAAATTTTATTAGGATATGTATAGATAAAAGACATCACCCGATCATCTCACTAGATGAAATCAGATTACACACTTTTTGATTTGATTACCTTGTTCTTACATACTGTGCAGACAGAGTCAGGTGCCGGAGACTGTCGGCGAAGTAATAACCGGCTTTCAGTCGAATTAAACAGTGACTTATTATACAGGGCTAGTAAGTGATTGCTTTATTTAGCTTTTATTACCCATAAAAGGCCTGGTTTATGGCAGTATGAATATGTATAATATATCACGGTAAAAAGTAGCGTTGGTGTTTTTGTTTAACAAAATATATGTAAATGTAAAGCGTACCCGGTGTTATGTGGAACCCAAAAGGTTTTTAGATATATAAGTTTACAGCTTAGATTTTTTAGATTACTTTTCTTTATTGAATAAAAATCTCATATAAAAGTTTCTAAACTATAAATAAATGTTAGAGAAAATATAATTAAAATAGTAAAAATTAAATTCGCTGTTTTGAAAATAATTAATATCTAATGAACTCTTTGAAAATCGTAGTCGTTTACAAATGTATTAATTAATGAAAACTGCGCTTTGTATTATTTTATGAGTATAAAATGTAAAAGTCCTTCTATGGAATAGTTTTCTATTAATGAGAGCTTACTATTTATTTTACAAGCAGTAATGACCCATGTTAAATATGTTTCCACAAGATAATCTTCTTATATTTTGCTTCATATTTCTAGATAGATTAAAGTGAGTACTAGTGATTTGTAGATATAAATATACGCTTTTAATATAATTATTATTGTGGTGTTTTTCCCAAATAACATTGAACGTACGATCTTATACACTGTAGAAATTAAATACTCTACTTCTCACGAATTCAAAAGACTAATATTGCAAATGTAAATAATTGCTGGTAGGTCCATTTTCACATATTGGCCCAAAAAATAAATGGCATATTTAAATAAATTTATGGTATACCGGTACATAAAGTTTGCCGGTCCGATGTCAGTAAATTGCAAAAACTAATACTAAAATTAATATAGACTGAGTGTCATAGAAGTAAACATAAAGCCAAACAATGTTTTAAAATAATATTTATATAACGTTTTAAAACAGAATATAAATATTAATACAATATTACTTACTTTGATAAGTAAATGAATGTTAATAAATTAAAATAGCTGAGGGATTTTATTGTAATGTACTAAAAATTTGCTAATATTCTGCTATCTCCCTTTCAAGGGGAACAGAACTAATGCTTAAAAATACAAAAGATTTTTTATTATTCATATTTTCTTCGCAAAAATTGTAAAATAGCGTCTTATATCTATATTAAATTTCCCTTATTCTTTGAAGATAGTGAACAATCTGTATGGCAAAATCACGGTAGTATTTTTGTTTTTTTTTCTGGCGGACTCCTTCTATACAATTCTTTATTCTGAGTCTAAAACCTTTTCAAGATTGTGTCTAAGCGGACCTTTCTCTACATATTATAATTAAGTGTACTCTATCGTTATCTTTAAAATGTGGGTTATTAGGGTATCCAGATAGTGCGCGTCGCCCGTGCATCGCAAAGGATCAAATTTACATAATTTGACAGCTAATTATATCGAGCGCTCGAACTCCGGCAATTTCGATATTGGCGATTTGCCGTTAATAACTGATAATTATTAGCGGCTCAAAGCGTTTCAATCAAGCTCCGCCGACGATGAGAATTTCTGATCACACGGACGTTGTTGTTGAGTCACGGAGAGTTGTTCTAATAGTCATGACATTTATATGTTGAATATGTTCCTCAGCTTTCACAGCTTTTTGCTGGTATAGCTTTCGAAACGTTAAAGTTATTAACCTTCGAAAATTTCGAAAAAATTAAGAAGTTTAATTAATAATATTGACTGTCATTCACACGGAAGCTATTTTTTATAGTCTGTATGGAGGTAATACTCTTAAAGTTTTTTTTATTGATGATGGTAATGTTCTCCTGACCGATTCCGGCCACGGCGGCCAATCTCATTGAGACTAGCCAACTCAGCGCAGGAGATATTATAGTGCACAAGTGCACGCGCAGACACAACGTACACTCTCTATACCTATCACTCTTATACTCCGGTGGGACGACTACACGACACGACCGGTGAGAGTTCAGGTGCAGGACCAACGGCTTTATGTGCTCTTCGAGGCACGGGGGTGAAACACCGCCAACTTCCCAACTCCGAGCTGTTACTGAGGCTTATTATACAGAAACTAAACTTGGTCCGACCCAGGACTCGAACCCAGGACCTCCGGGTGTGCAGCCGTACATGCTAGCCAGTACACCACTGAAGCAGTTCTTTTATTATTGACATAATAATATGCTTCCTTATAAATAATTATTAATAATATTATTAATAGGCAGCGATAACCCAATGGTAAAAATCTAGCCTGGTAAAGCTTTTGAAGAGGGTTCAAATCCCGGGACTCGCTCCTCTGATAATTTCATGTGCGAATTATTTCCAACACTATTACCGCTTGTCTTACGGTGAAGGAAACGTGTTTGTCTGAGAGAACCTAGAAAGTTTTCGGAAAACATGTGAAGTCCACTAACTCGCATTTGGCAGCGTGGTAGACCACGGCCTGATCCCCCTAATAATGAAGGGCCCAACAGTGGGACGATAAAAAAGGCTAAATACATACATATATATTTTTACGTCAATATGTATATTATTTGTTTACTTTCAATTTATTTCGTTTATAAACCTTGTTTTAAACAATCATATCAATTATATTCACCAGTCCAGTGCATCGCCATAAATGTATACTGTAAAATATATTTCATTGATGATGATGATGCAATTAGGCGGGATTGATACAAAAGTTCATTTGCCGAATTTAAGATCATTATTAGAAATGTAAAGAGCTTAATAGGTCATAACACTCCAGTACGCTTATTTTAAAACATCCTCGTCTCGGGAAAGAAAATACTATCTGATTTTATTTGAAAGGCGCCTAAAATGAAACCCTCGGCGAGGTTCGTTTGTTTGCGCCAGGGCTGCCAGATGTTGTGTTCGAAGTATTTTTAAAAAATAATTGCAAAAAGTTGTACGAATATCAGATGTTCTTGTAACTGATGATAGTATTCTGAAAGTTGCCTTCTAAAAGGCTTTTCTAAAAGAAATACTGCGAGTATTTCCTCGAATCTCGTAACAAGCGCGGCGGCTTGGCGTCAATTAAAAATAGCTGACAGAGTGAAAGTAAACTGGCATTTACGTAGCGTTGAGACGTAAATGCTGAAGCGATAGTTAGAGATAATGTTGTAATATTCATTTACTATTATCTTATCAATCCGTAGAAAAAAAACATAAAACGTAATTTTTGTAATATAAGATCAGAAATAAAATAATATACTACTAATAGCAACTTAAGTTACTTTAAAATTTCTGACAATAATTCTCATCCTTAATGATTTTAATCAAAGTGATATTTAAATATTAAGTTCTTTAATTATTATTAATGTAAAAAAACATCACTTATTTTTGAATATTTTTAAGAGTATGAAGGTTTAACATACATACATACATTATGAAGTGTAGAGCACTGTGTAGAGTGCCCGCTGTATCTACCATCTCAGAGCAACCCTACAACAACCCTAGAGCCCTGCAGCGGGAGTGCTATAGAGCTATAGGCGAGCGGACGGCCCTTGACCAAGTTTTGCACAATGCGATATTAGTTTGACATCTGTCTGTGACCGAAATAGCAAAGAATTGAAACAACTGCATCTTCTATATTGCCTTATGTAATAATAATAAATATTTTTATAATAATAAATATTTTGAGGCTTTAAGCTTTTAATAAACGGTTTTTTGGAAATATTCCAATTTGATGCAGCTCATTGAGTTGTAAATCCTTTGGAATAGTTTGCTGAAACGAAAAACGGTATACATCCGATAGTAATCATTTTAATTGGTATAACAATTTTGTTGGTGCTATGGATACAACTTAAAAGTTAAAAAATTTTTTCAAAAAATAATTAAAAATATCAAATTATCTAATGATAATAACACCCTTTCCAACTCTTTCTTTTGCCGATATGCGATAACAAAAGATAGAGTAAAGTGGCTTTGAAGCAACACCATTAGAAGAATTAAAGTGCATTTAATTATTCCAAGTTAGATTACAGACGTGGCGTGTCTCGGTCGCGTGTCTTGGCGGCGTCCGCAGGAACCGCTCACGTCGCATTTGCGTCACACCGCCTTAAAGTGCAGTCTTGCGAAACACGTCATAAACTCTCACATAACCCATATTTACATACACATAAGACCTATTTTCTTAAATTCCTAAATAGTTCTAATGAAAAAGAAACCCTAACTCGGTTTAAATAAGATTCGTTTTTATTTAACTCGCAAATTAACACTTACTAGATTTTGTTGAACTATTGACCCTTATTGACAAGGACGTAGAGACCGCTTTGAGTTGACTCCAGGAGTTTGAATCGAAACAATCTTTAGTTCATACTACAAGTTATAGTGGAGACATTTTGAAATGATGCCTTGTAGCCAAAGTGCAACCATTGCAAATTGAACGTCGTAAAATACCAAACTTCAACAATAGTCCTTTACGTGACGCGTTTAAGGGGTATTTTCGCTTGATCCCTTTTAGCCACAAAGTGCAGTTTCGTAAAATAGTGGTCGTTAACTGCTGCAATTTGAGCAGCCTTTTGTTGTAATCTTTTGTATTCTTTAAATGGTAAGGGATCCTTTCTGCAGAAACTTAGAAAGTTTTAATGTTAAGTAATATTTACCACTTGACAGAATGAAGCTATTTATGTTAGTAGCTATACTCGTGTGTCTCAACTGAGATGCTCAGAGATAGACTTCTACTAGTACTCGTGTGCTTGAAAAAAGAGAAATAGTTGGATTATTTAACTTTTCTAGCATTAAATAAGGTAAGAAATAAAATAACAAGATTTTTCTTTGAAAATTATGACGTATCTTTTGATGTCTTCATTATTACTTACCTTTTTTTGCTAGACGAAGTGCGTAATTCCCACAACCCTTAGTGCTGCAAATTAGAATACAGGAAAAACTGCGCAGTTTATATTTAAAGAATTAGAAAAACATTTCAAAAATTACATATTTCTTTGAATTGAGGTCACATCGCTAGTTTCAAAATACCAGCACCAACTTGCCGAGCGCTTCGAATGTCAATAATAAACGCGTTTATTTCAATTCAATTATTTAGCTCAGCTAAGCACAAGTATGCTGTAAAAGCTTTTTAAAAGACGTTCAAATTTTGAAAGTTTTACTTTTATCGAACTAAATGTTAGTTATATATTATCTCAACTGAATGTGACTTGTTTGTTGCCTTCATTTTCAACTCCTAGAAGACTTGATATTATCATTTAGTATGCCAGTTAAAAACAGGTGTAGTAAAAGTTCTAAAATTAATAATTATTGCTTTTTGCATTTAACGCCATTTTTTATACTTTTTATAAAGAAAAAATAGATTTAAATTAAAATATAATTAGCGGCACAGATTAATAGAGCCTGTTAACGATAATTGATGCTTGCTTATAAAGCAAAACCCCGATAAAGCAGTTAATCGGTGTATGCCCAAGCTACAGACGCCCGCGCTTGTACACAAATATACAAGAGTCAACTCACCAACCGAATATTTGCTCCAAAAGTAACATTTGCTACAACTTTATTCATCAAGCTCGTCACAACTCTGAACGAATTCAACATTTTTACAACTCGTTCACGTTTTTCGAACATTGAATGTACTATTACTTTTAGTTGTAGCTTCAGAGATATCGAAAAAGTTTGGCAAAAATATGCATTTTGGTATTTTCAATATACGAATATGATATGGGGATAGAAAGCATACCGTACAGGTAATAAGTTAAATTAAAATAATTCAATATCTTCCTATTAGTATCGGTGGAGGGGATGTTGTAAATAAACAGTTAGTTTGCTATATACTCGTGCCATAGCTTAGGTGGAAACAATATAAATAATATCATAATACTTACTACATATAAAAGTAGAATATTATTATTGACATTACGTATAATGCTATACTTCAAAAATTTCTACTTAAAACGTAAAAAAATACGTTAAATAGCCTGAGCGTGATAGCGTTTACTCCATTTATCCGATGACAACGACAGGGAAATAGTAAATATTTAAACAAATGCCAATAAAGCACGATCAAACATATTCGTGCTGTGAATAGCTAGCAGGTAATAAGACGACGTCTGACGAGGATCCAACGAGATAAGGGACGTGAAGGATAAGGGACCGCTGGACGCCGTGAACACTCGCCTCTACGGGAATTGAAATGGATAACCCTTTGAATGACATTCTTGGACAAACTAAAACCTAATATTAGATATATTGCAGAGTAATGTGAGAATACCGAAGTCCGCATGCTTTAGACATTGTAATAATTTAGTCTAACAACGTATTTTTCTAGTACAGTAGACCTACGCACTTAGCTTTTTATATCGAGTTTATTTTATTTAATATTGGAATTATCACAATAATTATATTATATAAAACACTAATAATATGACAGTTATATTAAGAAAAAAAGGATACCTTTTAGTTACTTCAAATTTTCATTAAAATAATTTTATTTTAACAGCTTTATGTTTATAACATACAATGTAACGTGTGTACATAGTATTATTATAAATCTTATATTCTAAGTTTAAAATTACTGTTAAATCTTTTTGTACGTTATGTTAATATTTGTTTTATGACATTTGTTTGTCCAGGAGACTACACAACTTGACATCAAGTTGCCTTTAGGTTGTCTAAACATTAAATTATATTTCCAAAAAGTACTGTTGATTTTTTTCACTGTTTCCAGGAACTGAGAGGTTTTGTTTCTTAATAATAGTGAATCTTATCGAAAATTTAATGATTACAATGTCAATGAAAAAAAAACAACAATCTAATGTGCTAAATTATTTCCTATCTTCTAATTGAAAACATAGCTCATATTCTTAAGAAATTATTTCGAAGTTTGCTCATATTTTTAAGATATTATTTTACAATAACGATAGTATTATTATGGCATTATACATTTTAGTACATTTTACTCCTTGTGAAAATTAACTTTAGCCCCGTGTTTAACGTATACTATGACTACAAATAAAGCACCCACGTGACGTAGAGGCGGCGCGTGCTTTAACTACCTAGAACTTATTTCCTTTTAAATTTTGTCAGCTTATTTTATAAAACTAACATGCATTTCCTAAGCATGTTATGCAATTTCAACGCTGACGCTACGCCGGCGCTACGGCGCTACAAAACTACGCCACGAGCTACAAGCTACGTAAATATCATTAGACTGAGTGGATTTATTATAATTATATGTAAAACACTTTATAAATTCCTTACTGTTCACGTCTTAATTATTTAAACGCGATGCAAAACTTATTTGTAACATAAATTAAAACTTTCTCGATTTTATTTAAACAATATTTATTACAACATTTTATTTTTATTTAAGTAACCCTACTTACTCATACATTACTCATACATTTTGCGAAACCAATATAATATTCACGTATAGCGATTTTAACAAAAAATATACCATAATGGCGTCCTGAAATTGAAAATAATAAGATGATATTAAGAACTATTATGAATTATCTTTTTGAATAAATCAAATTTTATACGAAATGTACTTTTTGAGTTTTTGTAGTTTTAGCGCGAGTGAAGCAGCGGGTTCTACTTGTATCTATATATATATATATATATATATATATATATTATATATATATATATATAATATATATATATATATATATTTATATATACTAGTTCTATACTCTGTTTCGACGTGAAACTAGGACAAACAAACAAACACACTTTCACATTTATTATTTAAGTATGGATTATTAAGTAGACTAACCTTTGATGAGGTGCGCGGCGAGCACGAGCGCGGCGGTGAAGGCGTGCAGCCGCCACGCGCACGCGCACATGGTGCTCGCGACGCCTGCAATAAGATAGTCATCAATCAAATCACATCAATAAAGATACAGCAATTTATGTTTCTGTTTATATATACTTTAGCTTACAAATACATATATGTATATGTTATTTACTCTAGAAATCCTTTCTTAATTTGGGTCTAAAAATTACCTATGTTAAATAATGTTCTTCAGACTGATTTCGTCCAGTGTCACTGAAACTATCTAACTACAAGGGATTTTACAGTGTAGCGCGTATGAGTGCAGATTTAATGTGCGCTCTCTATTTCTGTCACTATCATACTCCTCTAGGACAACTCGGCACTCGATGCCTCAGATCTCAGCACTCGGAGAATAGGCCCAGGATCAACGCGACATGTGCTCTCCGAGACACAAGAATGAAATACCGCTATACTATAAAATACTTTGAGTTGTCACTAAGAATTGTCTGTCAGAAAATATTATAAACTAAACTCCCCTAACCTATTCCGGACTCGAACCCAGAACTTCCCATACATGCCATTCACTAAACCACCGAAGCAGAGAATTATAGTATTCCTATTTTCGCTTCTCTGAAATGTGCCTCGAATTGCCACGCAGTGACAATATTGCTCCCCAAACAACAGTTTACATGTGCATTACTTAATTCGATTTGCGGATGTTTTGAAACTCTCAGAGCAGCGCAGTTATAATTAAAATTACATCTGTATTTGTGAGTTACCAACAACATATTTTTCTATTCTTGTTTGTGTATAACGTTAGACATTGTTATGTGTACATATAATAAAATTGTAACTAGGCCGAATCTGTACATTAAATATTTTTTGGAAAATCTTACTCAAATCAAAATATTTTATTCAGCATTAAATTATTACATTTTTTTACTGAACGTCATGAGTCTACTACCAGTTCGGAAAGAAGAGCCTCAGACCCGAGAAGAACTGGCGAATGAAACTCAGCGGGACTAATATTGACTTGTTATCTTTTTTTAAAGTAAAATTATAATTTACAATATTTCTATTTAAATAAACATTAATAACGTTATAGACGCCGAATTGATAGTTATTAGAATTTTTGTCTGTCTGTCTGTCTGTCTGTCTGTCTGTTACCGCATCACAGAAAAACCACTGGAGGGATTTTGAAGAAATTTGGTAAGGGGATAGCTGGCTGTCCGGGTCAACATATAGGATACTTTTTACCGCGGGAAAACGTCTCATTTCCTCTGAGAAAAATACAAAAACTACAGTGTAAGAGTATACTAATATATAAAACCTAAGAATTTGGTTTTTGGTCATCTGAACGCGGGCAAAGCTGCGGACAATGCTAGTGTGTGTATAAAATGAAAAAATCTAGTAGTTATCTTTTCCAACCTTTTTCTATATAATTCGTGAATAATTTCAGTTCATTAGTTTCAGAGGTTATCTATTATTTAAAAGTAAATAAACAATTCACAACCCTTCTCATATTTTTTGTGAGATATGTAATTTAGATATAATAGAAATGTAAAATATTTTCTTAACGAATTTGTCGTGTGGAAATGAATACACACAAACATAATTCATGTGGAAGTCAAACACGTGAGCTATGTTAAAATAATTTGAATGTAAGATTATTTTGTATCAATATCTACAGAATATTATAGTCACATTTCATCATTGTGAATGATCATTATATTTCTTATCCGAGTGTAGCTGTAATTATGTTTAATACAAAAATTTTAAAAGATCAAAAATACTCGTCAAAGAGAACCGTTATCGTTCTAGGATGATTTATTTATTTTATTTATTTATTGAAATATCAGTACATATATAGCAAAAACAGTTATAGACGATAATAATTGCAGAAGTTAAGAAACTGTGTTGCAATTATTAACGCCCTCCGCCAGAAATTTGAATCTATTGAATTACAAAGCATCTAAACCTCAATAGGTAAGATGGCTGGGAAGTGGGTAGTATAATCGTTCTCGATTTCAACACACTAGTAACATTCATTTTTAAAAACATTTAGCTGTTTTCTAAAATAATGAGCGATAATTTGAAATTACGAGATATAGCGTATTTCATGACATTCTTGACCCTTAAATTATATCTTTTTAACACACGTCAATCCGTTGCAACGTAACAAAAGGATAAATAAACCGTCAAATTTTCACATGTAGAATATTAGCAAGGGAGTAAGTGTTATCATTTAAGAATATTCTGCTTTTTAGGTTAATTTCAACTGTGCTTAAAATTCCGTGCTCGCTGTAACTCGTCGGAAAGTAATCAAGTGTAATAAGTGTCGGATATTGGTCTAACACACGACCCCTGATTCAAGCGATACCACCCGCCCTACGCCCTTTGCTTTCCGCCCTCGGACTCGACGCCGCTACAACTTCGCTATGTATCAATTATTGTTTGTTGTATTTCTCTAATGATCTGTTTCATAAAATATACATAACTCTATGATAAATGACCACTTGACATGACATTTTTATAAGTAACTATAAGTTGTGTTTAAAGTCTGAGATAATTTATGCGTAGAAAGTTATTATTATTATTATTATAAATAAAATATTATTGTGTCATCATCTTAAATTCTAGTATTTAGGTTTTTGAATGTTGGAGGAAAAATTTATCTATTATTACACATACGTTTATACATTGACACAATCTTTCTATTATTATAATCGAAAGTTTGTAAGGATGAAGGGCAGATATTTGTCTTTTAAGAAAACACTATTAAATTGGTGAAACTGTACAGTATAAATTAAAATTATACGAAGCTACGTTGGAAACACAAAAAAAATTAGTCATTAAATATACCGATTACCATTCAGTAATCAAATATACCGATCAATTTCAAACGAATAGAAGTCAATTTAAAAGAAAATCTTGTGAATTAAAGGTGTCATGACACATCCGGCTAACCCATATCAAACGAAACATTTAAAGGACATTTCTCCTCTGACATGGCAAGGTCATGGCGTGATCAGCCTCCATAAGGCGACGTAAATAATAGTTGTGGCGACTAATCTCAATCGACAGAGACATTTGTATTGAAAATAAAAGCGGCGATTTGTTACGTGGATTCATTGAACTATTCGAAATTGTTTTTTCAAGGTTTCTCGTGAATATTGAAAAACTTTCAATATCATTGTACGAATAAACGACATTTTTATTGTTATTTTTACCACTTTCTTTTATATTTTTCATCACACACGTCATTTATAGCTAAAATCTATTCATTTTATTGTAGCTTATATATTTTTATTATTTATTGTCGAAATTAAAAACTACTCACATAAAATATATTATATAAAACGTAAATACATTTGAATTTTTATTTCCTTATCCAAACTTTTGCGTTCCATTAAAGTGGTATAAATAAAAGTTATACATAATAAATATGCCTCTATCAATACACGATCGATATCAATTTGATCCAGTATCTGTTGATTTATAAAACTACAATATGAGGATTAACGCGGGTATCGAGCAATTTAACTTCGATCAATTCATGCATAGTTGTTTTAAAATTCACATTTTGAATATAGAGCAAGCATCCAAAACGTACTTTATGGTGTATGGAAAAGCAAATGTATAGTGAGTATAGAGTAATATGTATATTATACAAATATAAATTACTTTTACATATTATTATTAAAGATCATTCGCAATAATGTTTTATAATTTAGACATTTATCTCTACATTCGTCTTGCAAAGATTTTAAAGTACCATTTTATAATTATTACGCAAACAAAAGTGTTAAAATTACTGATTAAATAAAAAAAAAACCTAACACAATAATCTATTCAATGAGGCCATTTCAATGAGCCTTGACATGATATCTCTGCAGTATTTTAGTATAGATCTTGCAGATTCCAGGTGACGCTGCAGCATCAGGCTAAGGTTCCATATCGTTGCAATGTCATTGAAGTAACGGGATACCAAGTTTCAGATCGATTGGAGCTGTTCAAATTCCTCATATCCTTTTACTGTCTAACGACTGGACGGGGTTTCTTGATTTATAACAAAGAACACTTTCGATCAAAGTCATCTTTCAAACAAAACAAACTAAATTAAAATCGGTTCATCCATTTGGGCGCTACTAAGCCACAGACATACAGATACACACGCTAAACTTATAACACCCCTCTTTTCGGGGGTTAAAAAGATATCGATAGTTTCAGTAAGATTTTCGTCTCTAATTATTTTCTTGAAACGTATTACATACATACATTATAGTTTTTTACGTGACATTTGCATATTTCGATTGAATTTTCTAAAGTGTGACTTTAGCCTTATATTTGGATTTACCTTTACTTCTACAATTATTCATAGCATTTATTGAGTCCTTGCTTATCTAAATACTTTTCATTTGAGTAAAATTATTGCAAATGTTTACAATATATAGAATACTACTTGATCTTTTTAAAAATATATTACAAATCTCCGAATATTACGCTTGATCCGAGGGAAAGAGGACAAAGAATGAACCGAAGCAAACGTAGCAACGTTCTTAACTTTTGGGACCCTATTCTCCTCGATTATTACTTTCTCTGATATCTGGCGAAGAGTACCTTAACATATTATAAATACATAAATTTAAATTTGCACCTACCTATACAACCAGAATGGAAATACTCATATTAATTACTTTGTAAAATTATATGTTTGTTAATGACGCTAATTACCAAAACTAAGGCAATGTTAAGGAATTTTTCCCCATAAACAAGCCACATAGCAAGCATAATCATGTAGCCCGATAAGAAGCAAGCCGTGAACCCGCCGCGCCGGCACGTCACTCTTATCACCCCACATCGAGGGGACATTGCGTTTAGATCAGCGATATCATTTATATACATTACAATAGAACTGATGGCTAAGATTTAACAATGTTAAATATGATTCTAATAAAGGAGGTATTGTAATAATTAAAAATGCAACTAAAACAATGATATAGCCTTGATTTAGATATTAACATAATGTTTTGAGGTTTTGTGACTTTAAAAATGTAGTATTTTACATAC